ATACAGTTGTGGATACCCACTTCAGGCTTTAGATAATAAAATAAATATTTCATTTTTTAATATTCCATAGAACACACATGATATAATGTTGGGCAAATGTTAAACTTGTTGATCAGAGGATGTTTACTTGTGTTTTAGCCTACACAGATTTAACAAAAAATGTCTGAATTTACATATACCCAGTTTGAATTATAAAAATACTTGCTTTTTTATTTTTACAAATCCAAATTAAGCGTATACTCACATCAAACAAAGATTATATTTCATTAAATGCTGCTTAAGCCTAAATCTTTCAAGCTTATGAATGTGGGCTTATTATTATAGGTCAGAGTTCAGATTTTGGAATAAGCCTGGTAAGGGTTACTGTGTTAAGTCTTGTAGGTTCTTATGGATGATTATGAATATAAAGTTTAACTGGCAAGTATTAACACCAGAATAATTAGTTCTGCACTCCTAAAGGATACAAGTCTGTTAAACGCATGATAATGATACAGAAACTAGCTCCACTTCCGATTATTTATATATATATATCACTCACCAACTGGTTGAATTTCTGCCTTATCATCTTCCTTGATAAGATTAGTCTTGTCATCTGAAAAGTTGACAGAAGTGACCATTATAATTCATCTTCAAAATACCTGCTAATAGTATCAGCTGAAATCATTACACAGTATAGTGATTCTTTTTAAATGTGAACGTCATTTAAATGTGTACAACTTAACCCACAGCATCTATACTTCATGTCATTTACACAACTTTAATGAAAGAATATGTAAGGATAAGAGTTAACTATATAATGTTTCACACATTAGGCCTTCATTTGTATGGATAAATTTTATCATTAGAAGTGAAATATAAAACCAAACCAAGATACAACTGCTATTTTAACCACATCCAGTTAAGCTGGTAGTTTTAACATTAATAACATATGTGAGCCATAAGTATTGGATAGATTACCAACAGAAAGTTGTTGAAAGTAAAGTATCTACCATGAAGGAATGTCACATCAGTGTGCTAAAGATGTAAGAAATGTTTTAATTGTTCTGAAGAAGCCAATTAAATTAATCTTGGGGGAAAAAATCCTGAGGTTACAGTATAGTGCTCACCTTCAGGAAGAGTTGTCTACTTTGAAAGGAAACTTTGGGATGAAATTATTTACATTTTACAGGTTACAAAAAGGTATTATTTTCTTACCTCCTTCTTTATTAAGGTTCTTTTGTTTCATGCTACTCAGCATGGTCCCACCTATATGTTTACAAAAAGAAACTAGTTTATACAAAATATGTGACAGCAATTTGCTTATCTATGTAATCATCTACATTTAGCTTTCATTTTCTTTCTCACTCTCTCATTCTATATTATCTGAGTGACAAATACTCTTACACACAAGTAACTATACTCTGACATGTGTCTTTTTATTAACACGATGATAATGATGCAGAATTATAGCTACACACAAGTAACTATACTCTGACATGTCTTTTTATTAACACGATGATAATGATGCAGAATTATAGCTACACACAAGTAACTATACTCTGACATGTGTCTTTTTATTAACACGATGATAATGATGCAGAATTATAGCTACACACAAGTAACTATACTCTGACATCCTTTGTGTAATCCCTAAAACTTCCTAAATGCATTTCAAACGTTTTTTTCAGTAAAACTTTATCTTTTATCTGTTATTTTCTCTACTCTATCTCTACATAAGGTCGGTCAATTCTACCAACCTCGTAACCACCAAAAAAAAAGAAGAAATAAACCTAAATTAACCTTTTTTTTCTTTCTAGAATGACTTCAAAGTGTAACACGAAACTACATTCGTTTATCCAAAGTAACTTTAAACTCATAACAGTTTACATCTATTTATATTTAAATTTTCTCTGTTCAGAAGACAACGTAATATAATACGTCATTTGATAGATGAAAAACTTGGCTTTCTATTGTTATATATATTACTAAGCATAAGAGAGAAGTATTAACATAGCCTGAAAGAAAGGATGTGACAAGAGGGGTCTGAATTTAGATTTGATGGCTCAGTAACCAAACAAGATTGAAGATTATAAAAATTATGGTTTGTCTGAGCAATGTCGATTTTATAGTGAGTAATTTACGTAGAATTTCATACTTACTAGAGGGGTGGTGAATAAAATAAAGAGGGGATGCTTAGAGAAAATATGTTTCACATTTCTCACACTAGGGGAAATTCAGGATTTTTTTAAATATTGCCTTATAAAATTAAGAACTTAAAACTTATATACTATTAAAATATGGATTATTAGGTGTGATTTTATGCTACACTAATTGATATAATATAAACAAAAACTAGTTTAATTAAAATTTGAATGTAAGTCACTAAAACCTCGTGAAATTCACAGTAAAGTATGGTCAAAGCAAGGGGTTAAAGTAGTTGATCACTTTAATAATAATATTTATCCAATTACAAGTGTCATCTTTATAATACATGTTGTACGAGATTTTCAAAAACCTGTGACCTGAACCTCATATATACACCTAGTTTTAAAAAAAAACTAGTTTTCAGCACTTGGTAGTTTGATTAGTTCAGTTAAATTTGTAATGCAAATCATTAAGTTTCAAAATGTTTTAACAACATTAGACTTATGATGTCCATAGTCTTAATTATTAATATCTATTTCTAAGGTTTCTATTACTATGTAGAACAAACAGCTCTTACCAACAAAGTTTATTTTTGGAGTTCCTACCACTTTCTTTGAAGCTGCTACCTTCTCTTCTTCACACACCATTTTCACTTCTCCTCTAGCATTGTTACTCGATGTCGTAACAGCAACACTCTCCGGGTTAGGTACCACAACAGGCTCTGGAGAAGGGATTGGCTTTCCTAATTTTGTATGTAACTTTACCACCTGGAAAAATTACAGAAATATATCTAACCAATTCTTTATTATTTGAAATCTTTCCATGTGTGAAACAAATCAGTTACATCTTCTTTCTGTCAAATATCAATCATCGTGACAACTTTGTCTTAAATTAGCTTCAAACTTTTAATTACCAATGTACCATAACTGAAAAACTAACATGTGACGATAGTCATATAGAAGCCAATAACATCTACTCTACCTTTTGGTGCTTGGCCCCTCGAATGTGTGCAGCATAAGCGTCAGTTCCCGTACAAGTTACGTCACACAACTCACATCTGAGACTGGTACCTCCTCGGCTAGATTGGGGTACAACGTTACCCGCCTTTAGTAAAGCCTCTCTCTTTTTGTGTTTCTGTCCCTCAATGTGTTCTTTATAGGTCTAAAACCAAAGATGTTCTCTTTATAAACATCACGAATCAAAGTAGTAAGATTTCATGTTTTTACCTTTTAAAAGAAAAAATATTTTTACATATATATATATATACTTTACATGTGTGTGTGTGTGTGTATATATATATATA